AAGGCAAATCAAAGAATTTGTGAAGTGATAAGTTCGTTCGTCCTTAAGTATAATTTTAAAGATTTTGAGTGACGAATATGAATAAGTGTTTATAGAAACAAAAGATATGTGGGCTATATGACAATGAGATAACAACCAAGTTTGAAAGAAGTACTCTATGTATAAATATTTACGACAAAAAAGATATATATACAATCAAACCAATAAATTTCAAATCAACAAGAGGAAAGCAATCAACCTAAGAAAACATTTTTTTGTTAAATTATATACAATCTGGTAGATTTTTTAGGGACTCGGCTTATAAGATTAGGCTCTAACTTAGTCGAGAGCTTAGTTCTATAGTTTGTATTACTTTCAATTGTTAAGGCTTTAATCAATTATCAACTTAGTCATATACAATTGTATTCCTTTTAAAATTATTATTAAATATAAATAGTGCTGCTTTACTAATAATGTGATACATGATTTTAAGAGTTCGTTTATTCAAATATGTTTATGTTTCAATTGCTATCACCTTTCTACAATATCGTACCTCAATACTACACTTGTTTTATCCATATCATCGAATGCTTGTTTAAGTAAGTTTTTAAGAACTTTCCCGTATTGAATTTTCCTTTAAGTTAGAGATCGGCATTTTTTGAAATGCTTTAAACGGCACTTTACAAAGAAGGAACAACATTGTTTTCAAATACTATAAAGTTATTGAACCTTTTGTTTGGAAATACTGTAAATCAAGCGCAAATTTTGATAATTATTTTTATTGTTCAAAAATTGAATCTCAACTGATAAAGTGCATGCAGCAAGTTCACTTTTGAAAGAAGTGACTAGACCATTTTCATCACTTTAGATTGCTTTATTCTATTGGCTATGAACTCAGTTTTGTATGTCAATAGAAACCAATTTTATTTTATTTGACGATTGTTGATTTGTGGTGCATTGAATTTCAAAGTTTCGGGATAAGGGTTTTGTCACATCTTGGTTCATTAAGGTACGATGTATTTGTATGTTTAATCGATCGGTTGTTTTTGCGTTATATATTTGCTACAAATGTAAAAGAGAGGCGATAGATACCCAATGGACATTCAAACTCATAAGTCGAAAATGAACTGACAACGCCATGCTTAAAAAAGAAACAGACCAACAGAAAAAAATAGTACACAAAACAAAACATAGAAAACTAAAGACTGATCAACACGAACCCCATCAAAAACTGGGTGTGATCTCGGGTGGATACTGCTCCACATGTGGCACCCGTCGTGTTGCTCATGTTAGTACAAACCCGGTAATAAGTCTAATACGGTAGATCACATTCGAGAAAAAGCAAGGGGTTTGTAGTTACGACAGTAGGAACATATCCGCTATCATCTGTGAAACGGATATTCCATAACGATCAACCAACTCGTGATGGGGTCCGTAAAATTAACGAAGGAATGATTTAAACTTCACCACTTGGAACTCTTGGTTTTATAGCTTCCTTGTTAGAAGTAATGTAACACTGCTAAAGGAAGTCCTTACAAATATGTAAGTTCGAATTGGAGGATCGGTAGTACATTGGAAATCATTTTATTTTCAAAACTAGCCCACGCCAATGAGAGAATATCTAAATAGAGTCTTATCAAAAGGATAGTCAAACTCATAAGTCGGAACCTGATGGACAATGCCATGGCAAAGATACAAAACACAACATACATGTATAAAACTAACGATTGAGCAAACACGAACCCCAGCAAATCCGGGGTAATCTCAGGTGCTCCGGAAGGGTAAGCAGATCCTGTTCCACGTGTGGCATCCGTCGTGTTGCTCATATAAGCTAGTCTAATACGGAATTTTACATTTTAGGAGAACAGGACGGGATTGATGCTACGACAATTAGAAGATATCTGTTGTAATCTATGAAACTTGTATTCCATATCGGTCAGCAACCCGTGATGGCGTCCATTAATTTTCGAAAGGATGGTTTAAACTTCACCACTCTCAACACTTTCAGCCCAAAATAGAGTGTCCAAAATCATGAGATTGCATCAGAATAACAAGGTCAAACTAGTTATCTCAGTCGGGAAAAACGACAAGTAAACAAGATCGTCTCATTTGGTATTGTTATTGTGATGCTTCGAGCCAGTCCTTCATTCTTATGAGTCTACAGTTGTAAGACAAATATAATTTTAAAACATTTCTTCTCTTTAAGTTAAAACCATAATAGATTCTCATCATGTTGTGTGATTGTACTTTTGAATGGCAATACTCTACTATAATCGATTGTTTCATCTACAATTTGAGCAAATCTACAGAAATAGCTTTAAAATCTCTTAATATAGACAACAAGTGTACCGAGGTTCAAATGTAATAAATCGATTACGAAGACAACTAACTGTAACAAATAACGCCTGGCAGAATCGCAATAACTCCAAAAGAGGTATTACTGGTGTGTTGACAGGGTACGCGAGCATTCTTTGCCAGGCGAATCCACACTCAGTGAGAATGCCATTATAAGGAATAGAACACGATCGTAACAAATCCTTATCAAACTACTTTTCTGGTATCTAAAGATCAAAAACTGTGAAAACATATCGATACTGTATTGAGACAAAAACATATCGTATCAGATCACCATTTGGTAAGGTTGACTGTTAAAATTAAGTCGATATTAGTTTACCGATGTTCAAATCTAATAAATCGATAAGGAAGAGACAACATAAGGTTTCAAACAAAATTGGAGGGAATTACATGGACTCCAAAGGGAGCGAGGCCGGATGCGTCGACAGGGTAAGTATCTCCTGATATGCATACATCAGCTGTAACGTAAATTCACACACAATCAAAATGTCACAAACGGTAATAGAACACAATAGTTGAGACATTGACATATCGTATCGGTCCAACAATTTATGAGGACGACCGTAAAACTAATATATTGTCGATTTTAGTTTTTCTTCCCCATAATTCTGTTGGAACAGTTTTTGTGTGAGGAGCACATCCCTGTTTGTGAAGTGCTAATTGTGTGAACATGCACAGACATAACGTATCAACTACGATATTGTAAACCAAATACGATGGAGCAGAGAGTATGTTACTGCTGAGAAGGGAAGTTGACAAACGGAAAGTTAAAATCATCATGTTTGTCATAGACTCAAGTTAAGAGTTTTCACACTGTGTCAGTATCGAGGAAAAGATTAAGATATGAGGCAGACCTTCTAGTGGTGTCTATCATTTCAAGTACACTGTTATATAACTACTCATTGAAATGTGTGGTTACTGTGTGAAAGAACATCAGCAATATATCTGAAATTAAAAAAAAAACTTTGCAAGATGATTTTTCTGTTTGTGTTTGAAAAGGTTCTGGTATATATTTGTTCCTATGAGTACAAAAACAAGTCGGCAAGAAGTGGTGCACAATTAGTACCAATTGAAATACCGACTGTCTCCTAAAACTTCAATCCATCAAACTCAACACATATGATGTCGATCAGAAATTCTAGCATTTTGATTATGTCATCTTCCATGTAATTGTTTTTAGAATCAGTGTGCTTCTATGCTAGAAATGTTTGTGTAAGGAACATACCCCCTGGTAATGAAGTCCGTAAACTATAATCATTCACGAGCGTGACGTATCAATTCAGACAAGTAGCGCACTAAAAAGGAGCAGAGTGAATGATACTTCTGAAAAATGGTAATTTGAAATCATAATCTCTGTCAAAGATTTTAATTTTAAGTAGATAATTTTGTGTCCATTTCGAGGAAAATATCACAATATAAAGCAGACCTTCTAATTCCAGTAGTATCCCATAGCGCGTGATATATCAAATACAATTACACCCTTAAATGTAGGCTATGATAGGACATCCTCAATATATCTGAAAGGAAAGTGAAATTAAAAAACTTTGCAAAAAAGTTTTTTTTTCTTTTTTTCTTTGAAACGATTTTGATTAAATTTTGCTCATACGAGTACAAAAAATGTTGTACAGAATAAGTGCACAGTTTTTATCCATTCAATTACTCACTGTCTGTAAAAATCTTTGTTTATAAAAGAGAATGCGTTTTTCGTTGCCTTTTATCGTGATTGATTTAAAGGTTAAAATAGTAGCAACAAAATAGAAGTAACAACCGATTTCAATTCCATTGCTATGGCCAAAGAACCTTAAGTCTAGCTACTTGTGGAACAGGCATTATAGTAAACATATTTCTTCCAATATTCTCCTTATCACTTTTAGGTTGCCCAATGACACAATGTGTAATTAGCATAATGTGTTAATCAATATTTCTTGCAAAAATTTGACAAAACCTTCGTACATGAAAAATGGTTTCATACAAATGATTTATCATACAGTGATATCATAAAATATTCCAGAAATAGAGATATAATATATCATTGGGAATGTTTGATAGAACTTTTAGAAACTAAGACTATTATAAAATGTCTACGATATATGTTTGACATTTCATCATATAGTTACAACGTACATGAAATTATGAATGTGTTTAAACTAGAATACAACAAATTTCGATTATTATTATGAATATCAGAATCATGTCTTATTTCTCCTTGACCTTTAATGAACTCGTAACATCACTAAAATGATAGCACTTTTACTGTGATCATATTATACGGCCTTGGATTAGAAATTTAACTCTGTTATTACTTGAATTATTTAATTTCGTACAGTAGCAATTTGAAACAATTGTAATCACTTTTTCTTTTTATCTCCATGAACTTTAAAACACACCCGAAGCAACATCAGAAATTATTTCATTTTCACTGTGATTATAGTCTAGCTATGGCCAGGGATTGGTCATAAAATTAAATAAACACCGAAATTATCTTGTTTGAGTTACTGTGACAAGCTGTTATTTTGATTACCAAGAAAATGACATTTTCTCTTGTTGTATATTAACTTACTGGTTTGCCATTTAAACAGGTAATTTCATTCATTTATAATTTTGTAAATCAATGTTCTTTTTAATATGATTTTAATATAATTAAAAATGGGTGAATGCCTTGCATTTGTCATCAAATTGTATAAAGCCGAAATTCTTTTGGATGAATTTTATACTTTGACTATCTGTTATATTGATCACCAGAACAATGACAGTGTTTAAAATTGTCTGTTTTTCAATAGTTTGCTCTCGCATGGTGAGTACGACATTGTATAAATATGTACTTTTTATTGGTGTTTTTATTTTGGTAACTTATTTTTTTTTTATATCGTTTAGAGCATTTTTATTCAAAACATCTACGTTACAGACTCGGGACGATTTAAAGGTTGCACGTTATAAATGCAGATGTTTCACAAACCACGCCTCTTTTGGGGAAAATTTAAATTCATAGATATTTTGTTTTTATTTTCCTACTGTTTCCTAGAAATAATCTGTATGCTTCATCTCGTAGAAACACAACTTGGGAATGTTACCAGTAGAGATACACATGGATATCGGCCAAATTCTGAGAAAGACCTAAAGTGAAGGGAGGGGTAGTACAGAATTTTAGCAAAGTTCAAATCGCAGTAATTCGAGGCATATAAATGTTGAAATATGCCCCAAAGCACTAGATTTTGACCTTTGAAAAAAACTAGTACATATAAATAAAGGCAACAGTAGTATACCGCTGTTCAATAGTCATAAATCGATTAAGCGAAAACAAATCCAGGTCACAAACCAAAACCAAGATAAACACATCAACTATAAGGGGAAAACAACGGAACAACAGAAACACTGAACTGCTACAAAAACAAACGCCAACATACATATATACGGACGTTGTGATAACAACTACCATATTCCTGACTTGGTACAAGACATTTTAAGAAAAAAATGGTGGGATGAACCTGGTTTTATGGCTAGACAAACCTCCCGCTTATATGGCAATGTTAAAAATATCGCTAAAATGACAACATTACGTGACAGGAATACAGTACTAATAAACGCAAGAACGCTCAGGAAACAGAAATACATAAATAAATAATATATTAATACATTACAACATGTAAACCTCCCAATAATTTACGACAGTACACCAGTAAACCACAATAGAATAATGAACTCTGCGTCACACGAATGTATCAACGCCACAAAAAGTGACGTCACAAGTAAATTTCTAAAAATAGGATATAAAATTGGGATTAAGTTTGTAATGTTGTTATTTTATGTATTTTCTAACCATTACAAGAATATTAATATAGAATTGTATTAGTAATGGTGTAATTATTTGTATTTTCTAACCATGTCGGGTTTTTTTTTCTTAATTAAAACTGTGTAAAAACAAATTAATCCTGTGCATATAGTTGCTTTAAACTAAAAATCATATAAATGAAAGCTGATTAATAATCTTAACTTTTGCATACATACAGAAAATAGAAATAGAATTCAAACCACATACGATAAGACATAACACAATATCAAACAAGACTTACAAAAGAAACATCATAACTTAATACATGAATGTTGGATGTATAAATACCGAGACACGTCTAATACCAATGCGAATTCACACTCGGCAAAACAGTCATATTCGGGAACAGGTCACGTTCGGTATTTAGCATATCAGACGACGCAGATGGTAAACCACAATCTAAGACGTGGTAAAAATGTCGTTAGTTAGTTTAGACACAGACACATCGTATAGATCAACCAATTCGTCATGGTGTCCATAAAATTTACAGAGTGTCATTTTTAATCTTTCCTCCTCCTAACTCTATTGGAGCAGTTTCTGCGTAAGAAGCACACTCTTGTAGATGAAGTCCGTATAGTGTGAACACACACGATCATAACGTATCAACTGAGATATGTCAACACCATACGATGGGGCAGAGAGTTTGTTACTGCTGAGAAATTGGAAATTGATAGTTGGGAAGTTGTCATAGATTTAAGTGTGAAGTTGTCCATCTGTGTCAATATTGATGAAAAGATCAAAGTATGAAGCAGTCCTTCTAGTATCAGTAGTATCCTTAATTTCAAGTTCACTGGGATATATCAGATGTAAGTTCTGACTGAAAAATGGATTATTCAGTTTCTAGTGATAGGGCATCATCAATATATCTGAAAGTAAAATTGAAGAATTTCGGAAGGCGCTTTTTCTTTTTGTCTTTTAGAAGCTTCTGAATGAATTCTGCTACATACGAGTACAAAAACAAATCGGCCAGTAGGGGTGCACAGTAAGTGCTCATTAGAATACAGACTTCATAAATTATCAACTATCCATTCTAGGATATAATTTTATACGTAACTTAATAGTAAAAGTGGCATAGTTTTAGCTGCAAAAGGAGTTCCTATGGGAAATTGCATTGTCTATATTAACAGAAGTACAACCTATATTGGGTGAAAAAAGAGAGCATGTAGAATTTCACCAAATATGGTTTATCTCACAGATTTTAAAGAAATTAACTCAAATATAAAGTTTGATAAATATTTCATGAAGATTGAGAAAAGCCTGGGCCTTAGATATGATTACTCAGAATATATCCAGTTTAATGTATGCATTGATTACCTAAAGCCCTGTATGCAAAGTAAGTCCACGATATATGCATATAATTATATAATTTTAATTGTTAAGCAGTCCTTATATTTACTCTTCGCAGTCATTGAAACTCATAAATCCTTGATGCACATTGTGGTAAGGGTGTTTTTGTCCTGTCGAAAACACATAAGTAAGCCGTAATACCTGGATGTGCTTTCTTCTAAACGCGGCATAAAAACAATACAAGCTAGAGGAACAAAAATACCTCTGAAAACCTCATAGTGTGTTCCATCATAAAAATATACTTACTATTCCATATTCACAGAAACAGCAGAATTATTTAGCAAATTTGAGGCCTCAGTGGGAAAAACAGAGAAAATCCCTAAACCCTGGGTCATGAAACAGAATATTTAATCTGTAAAGGCTATGATTTTATTATTATAAAGGTCTTTTGTATAGAAAACAATAACCTTCCTTGGAACTTATGCAAAAAACAAATTTTAGCAGTCAGTTTTATAAAACGTTTAATGAAAAAATATCAAACTGGTAACTTCATACATACATTTTTTGCAAATATGACTTTGTTTAAACAATTCTGGTTCAGATATTAGCCAAATTATGTCGGATATATGGTCAAAGATGATATTCGATTTCTGAACTGACCATTTGATGCCAAAATTGTGAACTTTTATGGATAAATGGGCATACAGTACGATCTGGACTGGAGACAGAAGCGGGATTAGATACTTTATCTTATTTTGAATGTAGGAATGATAAACTATTAAAGTTTCCATTTACAGTATTTTCAAATGCGTTCAATTTGTTATTAGAGAAGTTTCATACAGATTCTATGCATTTCAAGTCAAAAAAGGGTAAGCTGGCAACAATTAAAGTCTTGTTTTCAAATTCTTAAAAAATTTTAAATAGGGGTGAGGGGTATTTAATGTACTGTAAAAGAAAAGTTAGAGTACATGCAGAGATTTCTTTTGGGCTATGATTCCGAGAAATAAGTGTTGTTGTAAGTAAAAGTGTTATCAGGATTTTTCTATTTGAATAACTGTTAGTATATTAAAGTGCAACTTATAGCTTGACATATACTGTAGAAAACCTGTTTATGGATGACGATTTCCATCTAAATGTCCTTACGGTTAGGTAATTTTGATTGGTGTTCTTTCTAGGTGATACAAATCCCACATATCCTGTTATTCCTATTTGAGTAACGATTATCTAGGTCCAGGCGGGTAAGAGCAAATAAACTCATCATAGATACCAGGATTAAAATTTTGTATTTGCGCCAGACGCGCGTTTCGTTTACAAAAGACTCATCAGTGACGCTCGAATCAAAAATAATTAAAAAAGCCAAATAAAGTACGAAGTTGAAGAGCATTGAGGACCAAACATTCCTAAAAGTTTGCCAAATACAGCTAAGGCAATCTATTCCTGAGGAAGAAAAGCCTTAGTATTCCAAAAATACAAAGTTCTACAAACAGTTAATTTATAACTATGACCATATCAATGATAATTCATGTCAACACAGAAGTGCTGACTACTGGGCTGGTGATACCCTCGGGGAATAAAAACTCCACCAGCAGTGTCATCGGCCTAGTGGTTGTAAATAAACTCATCATAGATACCAGGATTGAAATTTTGTATATGCGCCAGACGCGCGTTTCATCTACAAAAGACTCATCAGTGACGCTCGAATCAAAAAAAGATAAAAAGGCTAAATAAAGTACGAAGTTGAAGACCATTGAGAACCAAACATTCCTAAAAGCAAGACAAACAAAATGTAGTATTGTTCATTATTAAAAGCCTTAAACTGACCTTTAGACGTAATTTCAAATAAATTGTCCTTTAGGTGGTTATCACGTTGACATGTTTTATCGGTTTATCAGAGGGAGTGGCTTCATTATGAACAAACCCCGAGTATTCTAGTATAAGGAACTGCAGGAGAAATCAATTCATGGAAATACATTGTGTCAAGTACCTTCGAATGGAAATCAATGGCCTGTTAAAAGAACAAATTAAGTAGGACACTTTTGATAACATGTTTGTTTTTGTAGTCGGAGATATTTTCGGTCCCTTAGTTCAGACTTTGCACTAACTTTCCAGAACCAATGGCATACATTGATCCATAGATCTCCAATCTTAATGGTATATGTTGTAACATGTAACCTTGTCTTAAATAAACATCGTTATGCCCAAGAAATTTTAAATGTATAGTACGAACAATCGAACGGTAAGTTAGCTTTACAATAAACACAATCATAGATAAATTATGGCGAAAAGGGGAAAAGACAGTTTATTCAGTGGCATTAGAGATATAATGATTTGATTTGTCTAAAACAAATTGTGTGTATTTATATACATTGTGACCCTTAATTCTTAATTAGTAAGTGCTAAAAGCAGCTATGGTCTGTATTTGCTGATATCTGCTGAATCCATTGTCTGGAAGACGATTTAGTGAAACTGTCGTATTGGTCTTTTAAAGTCCATATGTTATTTTCAGGTGTGCGTTTTTCACCTTGAATTTTAAATCTTACTGAATTTTACGCTTTATCAATATACATTCAAACGTTATCCTTAACAAATTTAAAAAAAAAGAGAATTGTGAATTAATAAAAAAAATAGCTAACTAGGTTTTGTGTCTGCATATACATATTTGGGCGACCAATGTTTATTTTGTATCGTTTGAAAACTCTGTCACTTAAAGTCTGTATTCCATACACAGCACAGGTTCTCCTAAACTTTTTGAACCATTGAAATGTTGTTATCTAGTAACGTAATTGTCTGATGTCTAAATATTATTACGATATTTAAGAAAAGAAAGAATAATTATTTGTTGGGCATGAAATCAAAACTCTTATGTAATTTCGATAATATATTATAGAAATGCGCAGTTTTTCATATTGTCAATTGTTAAAATGTCTTTAGCAAAGTTCTCACAAGGAATTGTCTTGTCGTGGTATTTGTTTGAAGGGAAAACAACATGTCTATATTGAAAAAAGTCGTTCTTAAGAAAACATGTACCGTTCACGACTCTATATTATTCGTGCAGGTCCTCGATATTTAAGTTAAAAAAAGAAATAGAAAATGGTCTTCTGACTGTAAACGAGGAAACATAAATATAGGTGACATGTAATAGGTCAATAAACAATGTCATATGATAGAAAGGTCCATAGAAATATACTTAAAACCTTGCAAGATAAGAGATATATTACTTATAGATCTTTAAACAGTTGTAATATGTATTTCTTCTCTCAGTTCACAAAAACTACTGCAGAGATTCTTAGACCAATGCAGAAAGTAAGCATACAGCCTACATATGTCAACTGAACTTTCAATGACCAGACAAAAAGGTCAATGTATTACATGAACGTCGTCGCTCCGCCAGATACTACGGGGAAATCAGATGATGGTGTCTTCATTTTCACCAGAGGTATAATACCACTATTTAATTTAAAGATTTAGAAACTGATATTTATTAACAGTCTTGTTATAGTGTTTTTGTTCTGTTTCCATCACTAATATGCATACACTGGACATGAATAATTAGATATGTAGTAATTACTTCAAAAGCGACCTCACTACACAAATAACCAAAATACATTAATATACTAATGAGGAGATGTGCTATGGTTGCCATTGAGACAAGTATACACCAGAGTTTAAAAAAAGTGAAAGTAAGCAATTATAGGCCACCGTACGCCCTTCAACAAGGAGAAAAAACAAATACCGTAGAGTTGACTATAAAAGGCCCCGATATAAAAAAAAATGTGAAACAATTCAAACAAGAAAACTGATTTAAACAACTTCACCTGCATATGGGATATACATTTCCCAACTCATTCGGCATTCAAGAGCTTGCAGCTGCTACTCAGACTTTATAAAACGGCACCAGTGTCTGAACAGAAAGTTGATGAACCAGGATTATGTCAAAGAACGTCTCGTCCTTTTTCTGAAAAAGGTTCATCGGAAGATACAAAGACGTAGTTGATAAATATTCCGTATCAACTTCACAAATAATACTTGATAGTCTTGAAGTATAGATTCTAGGTACTGACGTTGTTTATTATCTTAAGTACTTGTTATAGTGTTCATTTATTTGTCTTTGTAAATTATTAACCTTTACTGTTTAGTCCACTTTTGGTAATATCCTTTTGGCGTTGCTCGGTACTTATGCATCCCGCCAATGTGTTGTTGTGCTGTGGTCATTTTTGTATTCTTGTCTTTCATTTTTGCTTATGTGGTTTGTCTATATGCCAATTTAGTTTTTTTCATTGTTGATATACTTGTTTGTTTTTATAGTGGTTAAGATTATAACACGATGTTTACTGCTGTACCCCTATTTTTGACATTTTTACCTATTACGTCTGTTTGTTTTGGACACACATTGTTGTCAATATAATGGAATGTTATGCGCATGTCATACAAGTCAGAGGTTTAGTTAGCTATAAAACCAGGTTTAATCTACCATTTTCTACATAAGAAAATGCCTATACGAAGTCAAGAATATGACAGTTATTTTCCATTCGTTTGATGTGTTTGAGCTTTTGATATTGCCATTTGATAATGAACTTTCCGATTTAAATTTTCCTTGGAGTTCGGTATTTTTGTTATTTAACTTTTTAAAATAAAACAATTTACGAAAAACAAATATGACAGACATTGGCCTACGACTACCACTGTACTGCAGGCTCCTGACTTGGGACATGCACATAAAGAATGTGGCGGGGTTAAACATTTTTGTGAGCGCTCAACCCTAATCTAACCTGGAACAGTGGTGTAAGAACAAACTGTAAAAATCAGTTGCAATTAGCTTAACTCAAAAGATCGGTAATGGGCACAAAAACAACTAACACAAAAACAATAGCCACAAAGCACCGATATAAGAGTACTCGCAGTTACTGAAAGCTAGTTCAAAGCTATTTATAACATGCTCACCCAGACTAAAGTATACATCCAACGGATGTACTGTTAAGACGTCATAAACATAAAGTTTCAACAATAAACACTGTGTATTATTTTTTGTTACCTGTAGCAATATCCTACAGGGTAGCCGCCATTAATTCCCAGTAGAAAAAAGTATCAAGGTTAATTTGTAATTATAAAATATGCATATATATATTTAACCATAGAATATAGTACTTTCATGGTTTAATACATTCGTTCTAATTGTGGAAGTTATACCCGATATATGAGAGTGTATTTGCATTTAACGGAAAACTATATTTTGAAAGCTTTTCTGAATGCATGACCAAAAAACGTTGATTCATTTAGATAAAGTATCCAGTTTTGGTTTATATTTGCTTGCGCGGTATCCCTTTTCCGGCATATTCCCAAACTGCATCCATCAATAACCTGAAGTTCTCCTTCCAGTTGATGGGCTTAGGAATTGGATATTTCGGGCTTTTGGCAAAATACTCTATTAGTTGTTCATTGTTACCAAGGTCTCCATTATTATCATGATCAGCGGGACTATTTGTGTATTCGGATGATGCAAAAAAGCAATCAAAGGTTTGACTTTTCCATCTCTAAGGACATATTTCTCTAATAACCTCTTCAGCTTGTGGTTGAAATATTTGAAGCAATCATAGGTGTGACATGACTTGTGTGTTTTTTCTTTTGAAACAAAAACAGTTAGGAAGAAAAACAAGTGTACATTAACAAATATTTAATTGTTCGTATCTATGTCTTTTGGTCTTAATGGATAGTTGTCAGACGACTTCCGAATTCGTGGACTTTCCCGTAATTTTCCTATGTAAAAATGTTTATGTTATTACGTCACAGTGAGAACCGATTGTTCGATGACGTCGTTTGCACTGATTGACTCCCGGTCGACCTGTGTAACTCATTCATAAAAAACAACTCGAGTTTGGTGTATTAGAAATCATACACATCTCCTTAAATTTATATTGAACTTTTTTCCGATGATATTCACTAGTTGGTAAACCATGTTACATTTGAGTACACACATCTGTAATAAATACGTATATAGTGTATATCAACTGATTGGCAAATTCATAATTTGTTTGCGCTATTCCAATCATAATACTCCCACGTCGTATGCTTTTTTGAATGGGTTTCCTCGATGTCAATCGATGTAAATGCCGTCGTTGAATGATGGGGTAAGAATATAAGCATTCTACGGGATAATGCACGAATTTGAAACAGAAAGTCGTCAAAAAATTGAAACATAAACACAAGATCATAAATATTTGTTGAAAGCCCATAAAAGTAAGATAATCAATTAACTTCGCCCGAATTTGTATAGGTATTCTATTGTATGTCACTTATGCACTTTTCTTCGTATTTTACGTCAATATTAATCGTGTGTTCAATCACGGGAACAGCAAATATTTGCTTTCAACAAGAGCTCTCCAATCCTAAACAAAAATGCAGTCCTTGTCCTATTATGATAGTTAAAATTCACCGGGGCTTGAACTTATACTGATTTTACCACGGGTTGGACCTTTATACTATCGCTCGTGGTAAAACATTTAGCATAAAGGGCCAACCCGTGGTAAAATCAATATATATAAATTTTCTTTTCCAAAAAGTGTTCTGTTCATCGTCCAGAAGCAAAGGCAAACTGTGGTGTAGAACACCACCATCTACTATTTCAAAATGTATTTCTGTATTTCAATTAGTTTTCAAAAACTACATTGTCATTTTATACATTTTGCCTTAAAACTGGTGTGAAGCGTTAAATTAGTATGCTATCGAAAAGGTTAACAATTTCTACACGAGGGCAAGTTAGGTTAACAATTTCTTCACGAGGGCAAGTTAGGTTAACAATTTCTTCACGAGGGCAAGTTAGGTTAACAATTTCTACACGATGGCAAGTTAGGTTAACAATTTCTTCATGACGGCAAGTTGGGGTAACAATTTCCTTACGAGGTCAAGTTAGGTTAACAATTTCTTCACGAGGGCAAGTTAAATCATAAGATTTGTTTCCGAACTTGCCCTTTCAGAAACAAAACCGAATCTCATATCGAGTTAGGCCAAACGTACCATCATAATAATTTTGATTAATATTTAAAATACATATTTAAGATAAATGTTTTATTGTTTTGTGCAAATAATTGACTTAAAGTATAGAAAAAGCGTAATGAAAGTATACATAATGTAATATGCTGTCCAAATACTTACCTATCTACTAAACTATGCACAATATATAATTTAGTTTGCAATAAATATATAAAATGAATATTTAAATTATGTTTTAGTGTCGGATATAGTTGAGACTTCATCGGTATTCGACGCAACCATTACTATTGAGAACGATCTGGAACCTTGGAAATCTCATAAAATAACTTTATCATCCGTTTCAACCAAAACTGAATTTGAAATATATGTAACTAGTCATGGGGACATGACCGAACAAACAGAGTTCTTCGATATAGATTGTTCATATGAGGTCTCGAGGACAAAATCTCTTGGGGTAACAAAGTATGTTGGAAGATATAAAGGCTGCAAAGCGGAACACCTAGATTCCATTCCAGTATTCAACGGTAATTTAAATATAAATGGGGATGAACTAGGTTTTTACTATGATATGAATAGAGCACCACAATATTTCAACATGACATTTAATTCTAATGGTATAGAATTACATCTTAACGAAGAAAAGGTGAAAGCAGATAACGGTAACATAGATTGTTTATACTTTGACATGATAATATCACCATACGCCGGATGGCTGGCAGAACGTCGAAGATGGCGATTGGATATTGTTCCAGAATCCTCCACTTGCCGCAGTAAACGCATCTATTAAATTCTGAAGTATGACTATGACCATCAGTATTATACTGCTGTCTCCTATCTATGATAGTATAAGCCGACATGCGTGAACGAAAAGCCACTGTAATGTTTAGTAATGCTTTTAATTTATTATCTGTATAATAATTATATTTACAAAATCATGTACTCCGTATATTACAAAATGTATTTGTTTAATAAGTGTACAACTAAAGATTTCAACACAAAATTTATTCTATTTCGAAGTGTCATAGAACATGGTGTCTTTGAGACATAAACGTACATGCTGATTACAGAGTATGAGAATAAACGGAGACATTACTATATCATATACAATATAGTCACTAAGTATAAGTGGTTATCGTGACAACAACCACTGGTATATAAAAGATACAATAGTAAGGGTCAAACATCTTTTTAATAGTACGACAGCATTCTTCGATTAAGTATGGCAAATAACGTGACATCAAAATGGATTCTATATTATATGTTAAAAATATGGTGTTTCCACTGTTTTCCCTTACGTTCTTGATTAGACTTTTAAACAGTCTTGTGATATGTATTCATTTTATATAATTCATTTTTGACAATGAGATGTGGTATGATTGCCAATTAGACCAAATATTACCCAGTCTTCACATATTTTTTTCAATCTACAGGCCCGAAGCTGAATTAAACAAAAAAACTTAGTTAGGTTCTATTGGCCTGTAAGGGGGATTTTTAAAAGCCTGGGCAAGTGGGCCTGTGGTTGAGCGCGTAGACTGGTTAAATGAAACCCAACACACTGTATGGTAGAGCATTATTAGCATTGTTGGAATTACACCCAAGTGTTACAGAGAGGTCAGTTCCCAATCACGAATTAAAAAAGTATAAAATGTTCTTGTAATCAAGTATCATTTTGAATTGATAATTTAGTATTTTTCATGAAAAAAACTTTGAAAATCGGTAACATCAAGATTCATGTATAATTTCTTCAATATTTTCACCCATTACAATGCTAAAAAATCTCTTTAAGAGAGATTCAAAGCATGGGTGTTCTTTTTCCAAGATATCAGTACTCAACAAATTGTCAAGGTTTATATTTAATACCATAAATGAGACCGACGTAGCACGACAATCTACTCCCTTTTCCCTTTTGAATCCGATGCATAGTCACTGTAATACTCGGTTTAAAATCTTAACTTTTTGTTATAAATCAGGCCGTTGGTTTTCTCATTTAAATTGTTTCACATTTTTTCATGTCTGGGCTTTTTATAGCTGACTATGCGGTATGAGTTTCTCTCGTGTTTGAAGGTGTACGATGACCCATAGCTACTTATTTCCATGTCATTTGAACCAAATCGCCTTATTTCTATAAATTTAATTGGTATTGGTAATAGGTGATATGTTCATGCCGTGTGATCTTTTTCTTCGATTCTTTGTTTTTCACACCAACGTAACAGATACCTGTTTCTTTCGACACAACTTGGCCTAGTAACTTATACGTTCGCTGATTTAATTAGTTTATATCTTAGTATTATGCTTAATGCCAAAACTGCTTCCGTCTTTTTTAATACTCTATCCATTACGATTTCAATAATATCGCGGGTATTGGAATACAGAGTTACATGTATTCGGTCATAATTATAAATTTTGACAATGCAGATGTGACGTGTTTCTTGCTTTTAATTACTACTTATGTTTAAATGTAAATGACTGAAAAGAGATATGGTATATACATCTATGACACATTGACAACAACGTCAGAAATAGCAAAAAGACAACTAGAAATACAGAGCTTGCTTGTCTTCTTGAACAATTAGTTCCTTAATTGCGTAATAGATTAAAAAGGTTTTAAGAATGTTATATTGGGTAAGTATTTTAAACACAATTTCATTTTGTGGGAAGGTCGTATTGCGTAATTATAATTTATACAATTTAAATATAGTCTTATGTAACCCTGCATTGCGCATAACATTAAAATAAGACTTTTAAAATACTGCATTGCATAATATAAAGCTAGACTGTATTATCTATTGATATTGAATTGTAAGATAGTTGATTTCCAATGCCCGATTCAACGTTTAAAGATTTTAATGCACCAAATCATTTCAGTATGACAAAGTGTAATTAACAAATAAGAACGCATGGAAAAGTAAAATAAAAAAAACAAATGTATTGACATGTTTAACAGTTTAAACCCGCCACATTCTCCATGTGTCTTTCCCAAGTCAAGAGCCTGTAATTCCGTTGTTTGCATTGGTTAATGTCGTTTATATTTGTTTTTTTGTAAATTGTATTGTTATAAATTAGGTCGTTACATTTCTCGTTTGAATATTATTACATTTTTCAGTCAGAACCTTTTTTTAGCTGATTATACAGTATTTGTTTTTCATTGTTGAAGGTCGTACGGTGACCTATAATTGTTTATATCTTCGTCATTTGAACTTTGGTAAATAGTTGTCTCATTTGAAATCAGACCACATCTCATTTCTTTTATGTCGCCCTATCATCTCACTTATCACACACGTGCTCATCTCAACTTCCATGATTCTGTGTTGATTGCTTTGAAGGTAACAATCTGTAAACGTCGGCATCAGAAAAAAGATAAGTAACCAAAGTTTTCGATCAAATATCACCGAATGAAATATTTATTGTCGGTTGTATAATAGTCTTGTTTTACGGGGGTTCCATAAACGACATGTAGATGGTTCTTTTACATCACTTTATTTTACAAGTAAATTAACGTAGGGAAAATAACCCTGCATTAACAATAACATATAATTATAACATTTATCAATGTCACAGTCTTATTACAGCATATACTAGAATAATATAAGCACTGGTGTAAATAACACTGTAACAAGATCGTATGCAATATTATATTCCAGTTACAATAAACTATACTGAGTATCAAGAATGCAGTCACATTCACAATATGCAATAAACTTGAAATCATATATTACTAAATACAAATACAGGCATTTGATAAATCGTATCAAATAGTATATCATTATAATCAACCAAGCGTCTTATAAACAAGTCGAATGTATCGTACTTCATAAACGAGTGTCATTCATAAAACCTTTACCATACAAAGGTTATTAACTATTCACTACAGTATTCTATTAAGTTCGTATACACTACTGTAATGTTTAATATATATGATCGAAGTCACATATAGATACAATATAATATAATTTGACCCTTACCAATCTGTGGAACCAGGTTATATAACTAACGTCTACAGTGCAACCAGTATATTACAGGAAATCATAATCTATGTGTCATGAAAATAATACACAATAATAAATACTAGTATCTAGGAAATAATGACCCCTTATACAAAATACAACATATTAAAGACTGATATAATAAAATCAAGCTATTACACAAAATAACTATATATTAACGCAATTGTCAATGTGACGTCATACATTTGTAGGTCCATAACTGAAAGATCAAGGTCACTTTCAAAATCATTCGTTAATCTGCCTTTCTACATCAAAACTACAGATTCAAATCATATATTCTCAGATTAATACATAAACTATCTTTCTCCTATCATATCTAAGGTATATGGGCATACTTACCTATAAATGAGCAAAATTGTATAGCTACACTGCATACGCCTTTCCTACAGAACATAAAATCTACTTACCAGATATAAAGAATGTAATTTCCAATAACTACATTGATTCCAAAGTATGGAAACATCAGTGAGTAATAACGAGCACTAAATAGAATGTCTCTATATAACTTTCATCACTATATACGGTTTTAAATAAGAAGTATATATTCTTCGGACGCATGAAATTATTAAACGTGTTGTTTTCAGTTTTTTAAATATGTATGTTTCCAATTTTCAAGAATAAACCACCATTACTTTTTTCCAAAATCTGAGGTGTGTCTAGAATGACTAATAAGAACGGACCGTAAAGGTAAACAAGGTGTGACAATTAATTTACTAATGATTTGGACAGGAAGATACAATTACAACTTTCTCATTGAAGTATGACCGAATAGAACTTTCATACAATTCAAAGTGTGAAGAGATAATAGACTATAAATCAAAAGATCAAATGATCAGAGTGAATGAATAAAGTATAATATCTGGCATGTAATAAAATGTTAAATACTAATAAATGAAATATGTAAAAATATACTCTGTCACAGTTGTACGTTATGTTAAAAAAAACGTGTACGATGTACCTAGTTTAGTATATATGCATGTATTGATTAATTAATTTCATTACTATTTTAATCAAGACCCTAGTTTCATATTACTTCAGGAAGCGTAGTCCCAATCCTCTTTTGTGCATAATGAATCATCACTGTTCACGATCCAGTACTAGATTGTATATGCCACGCATATATACAACACGGCAGTATGGAGCAAATGGGTTCACCTGTGGCTTTCAGTGGATATCATTTTTCCCTATCTTTTGTTTCCTGTGCGCTTTTGTTTTTAATTTTTTTGTACTGTATACATTCGTCTTGTCTTCTTTCTATCGGTCGAAAAGAGGCAAAAAATACCAAAGGGACATTCAAATTCATAAGTCGAAATAAATTGTAACTAAAGACTGAGCAACACAGGCCCCACCAAAAACTGGGGATAATCTCAGGTATTCCGGACGGGTATGCAGATCTCGTGTTGCTCATGTTAGTACAAACTCGGTAATAAGTCTAATACGGTAGGTCACATTCGAGAAGAGGGGACGGGATTGTAGTTACGATAGTTAGTATTACTTTTACTGTTTGGTCTGTTTTCTGTGATATCCATTTGACGTGGCTCAGTACTTATACATCCCGTCAATGTGTTTGTATTATCTTTGATTTTTGCTGGTGTGTTTTGTACGTGTGACTTTATGTGTTTCTTTGGTACATATGACGTGGCTCTGTACTTTTAAAGACCCCGCCATTTTGTTTTTGTTCTATTATAATACCGTTATGTTATTGTTCTATCATAATTTTAAAAATACTTTAAACGAAAAAATTATTTTACTCGCGTAGTGGTATAAACCATATGTGGATTTTTAAAAATTCTAAAGAACTTCTGGATAGTTCTAAATATCGGTCTTTTTCTGAAATTAGTTCTAACAAAAACTTTTGATTTTTTAACCCTGTATACCACCATTCCCCATGTGAAATTATAATTTTGAAAATACTTTGAACGACAAAATTATTTTATATTTCTTCCTGTGTGACGTTTACATTTTCTGGCGTCAAACCCGCGACTCTACACTGAGAGTAGATGTGAATGCAGTCACATGACTTTAAATATTTCAATCATTTATGGGTTGATTTAAAATACATATATAAGTAAGCAATGAATGTGGTTGTTAAATTTGATATATGCTTTTTATGCTTCTTTGTTAAATGTTTGTTTGTTTTGAGATTGTGACATAGTGATGACTGATGTACCCATATTTTGACAATGTTACTCATTATGTCTTTTTTGTTCACGCATCTTTGTAAATATAACGGAATTTGATGCGACTGTCATACAAGTGAGAGGTTTAACGCTATAA